TCCCTCTCTCCCGCCACCCATGAAACGACGACGTTTTCGCGTTTCATGTCGTCATCTTCCCAAAAACAAACTAAAATTCTTCCCCTCTATTTGACTTCGTCTCCTGAAGCAGTTCACCTCTCTGACCTAGTCCTTCTCCCTGAGAGTATATATGACTCTGTGATTGCTGTATGCGTGTATGCATATGCCGTGTGAGATGCCGGAAAACTGGGGACCTGGAAGCTCGGCTTCGTCTTCGCCGGCGATATCGCCGTCTCACCGTCTGCACGGCGGAGGATCCTCCGCTATGAACACCTTGCGGAAGCAGAATGCCGCCGAGATGCTCGCAAAGGTCATGGAGAGGCGGGACCATGACTATGATTACGAGGGCAACGATGGAGATGAGGATCTTTACCACATCGATCTTCCTCCTCTGTTGCCATCTCGCCGGAATGGTAGAGGTACGGTCAACGGGAACGGATCCCATCTGGAGTTTCCGGAAATTTCGATAGGGCGTCCAAAACGTGACGGCGAGTTGAATGATAACGGAACTGCATCCGATGCGAGTCGGAGTCCGATCAAGGGTCGTGAACAGAACGGAAATGGAGTTCGGATTGATGTGCCGTTGAAGCCACCGGAGGAGGATCACATGAAGTATAAGAAAAGGTAAAAAAATCGAGGTTGATGTTTGAGTGCGGTTGAGTCTCTGTTTCTTTTGAATGCGATGTATTTGATGAAATTCCTGCGAATGAGGGAGCAGTTTCAGATTCCGCCAAGATATTCTAGTTCAGAATTTTTCCAATGAGAAGGAAGATGATCGGGAAGCTTCAGCGCTGCGTGATGAGGTATTTGGTTTTGATCAAGCATTGATATAGGATGAGCCATACTTGTAGAAAACATGGGAAAAATTGATTTGTAAGGAACTCTTATCACAAGAAATCATATTTGAATTCATATCTAACACGTGATCGTTTGCAGCTGGATATGCTACGCGAGGAAAATGAAAATATATTGGATAAGGTGTTGTGACCTCTTCTTCCCTCTACTTATATGTTTTAATTGGCATTCCTTGTTAATTTGTACATAATATAGAATCTTGAGTTACATACGCAGCTAAGATGGGCGGAAGAAAGGCGAGAGGGAGCAGAAGCAAGGGCTAGGGAGCTCGAGAAACAGGTAGTGAAATTTGTTTCTTTGCTTCCAAAAAAAAATCGTTATTTTTGCGCTTCACGTAAGCGGATTAGCTGATTCCTAGAGGAAATTTATACATACCCACATGATAATTACTTTTTGTGACTTGTAACAGGTTGCCTCTATCGGCGAAGGAGCAAATTTTGACGCCAAACTGGTGAAGAGGTGTGGTTTTCTTGTTTCTCATTGTTGTTCACTTAGATTTTTTTTTTACATTTTATGAAACTCTGTGTTGTTTTCTGCAGGAAAGAAGCGGTGTTGCGTCAAAGAGAGGTGTGTTGATATGATATACTCATATTTTTTGGAACTTGAGGCATTTTGCTCTGTTCCAATCCTTGCTTGTATGCTCTCTTCTTGTGTGTAATGTGTAGTGTTGTTGCTGTTGGTAAAAAAAAAATTTAGCTGTAGAATGTCATTTTTCATAGGCGGCACTAAGGACTGCGGAACAGAGAAAAGATGGAAGAAACAAGGAAATCGAAACCCTTCGTTCAGATTTTCAGGTACAGTGCACTGGTAAAAACTCGGCAGAAAACCCAAACCGCATCTTTCAAACATTCATGGCACTGGAATTTCTACTGCTAGGACAATAGTTCGACTCTTACAGGTGAACTCTCCTTGTAAATCATATCCTCTCTTCTGTGAAATATTGTTGATCAGAGCTTGAAAGATGAAGCCGAGAAGGCTGTGGAACGGCTTCAAGAGGCAGAGATGGAAACCAAGTCTCTCCGGACGATGATACATAGGATGACTTTGACACAAGAAGAAATGGTTTGCCTCAAAACTAAAGTACTACTAAGTTTATCAATCAAAGTCTTGTCTTGATCTAAGTGTGTATAAGGCCGAACTTTTAGGAGGAAGTTGTCCTAAAGAGATGTTGGCTTGCACGCTATTGGGGATTAGCTTTCCAATATGGTAATTCAATTCTTCAACTTTCTGAACGTAATTTCTCATTACTTTGGGTGCCGAAATGGTAATCAATTCTTCAGTAACTGCTTCAACCTCCTTGTGTATTCAAAATAGACGCAACAAAAGTTATAAGCAGTAAATTTTGGTGACTCATGCAGGAATTTGCGATGATATAGCAACGTCGAGGCATGAATATTGGTCAGCTTTGGCTCCTCTTCCCTTTGAAGTTGTCCTCTCAGCTGCACAAAAATCCGAAGACTCATGGCAGCCAGGTCCGATCCTCATTTAACCATCAGTTACGGAAAGTGTGTCTGCTTTAGAAATTAGAAGAATCGTTTCCTAGCAGGCAGTAACGATCGTGCTTGGAGCAAAGTTGTTAGGAACTTAACCGATGCAAATGGAGAAGGCAACATAGAAAGCATGCTCTCTGTCGAAGTGGCTTTGCGGGAGTTAGCGTCTTTAAAGGTTTCCACACTGTTATATTTTACGTCTAAACTCAGTGTCTGCGTTCTCAACATCTCATGCCTCTACGCTTTTTTGCTGCCTCAAAAGGTCGAGGATGCTGCAATGGTTGCATTCGCACAGAAGAGATTGACAAATCTGATCCGACGCACCATCACTGGTATGTACCCCCACGTCTAAATGAATACGATCCATCTACATTCAATTCTGAAAATGTGATCGATCATTTTGTCATTTTTTCAGATCCAAGAATGCAAGGGGATTCCAAGTTTGTCGAGGCATTTGGTAAATAATACGATAGACTTAGGAGTTTTTGGTATTTTGATATTTTTTTATACTGGGTTTTGATAGTGTTAACGTGTCGGGTGCTAAGTTATTTAACGTTTGGATTTAAGGGAGATTAGGAACAAAGCCCAAAGGGTTTTAGCCCTAGGGGCTGGTCGTCAACCCTCTTCCCTGTTTAAAGTAGTGATGTCAAAATGGTTCTGGCTCACGAGCCAACTCGCGAGCAATCAGCCGCCCCATGTATACTATAAGAATTACTGTAGTAATTATGACAAAGAAGCTTTAGTAATGGTTTGCGCCGAATTCTCTAGTGCAGAGTTGAGCGAAGAAGAGGCGCAGGATGTTCTCTTCAAAGAGGTTTCATTCTCCGACCAACTTACCCTAGTAGAATCATTTTGTTTCTTGCAACTCAAACAACTGGTTTCATACCATTGTAATAATTTGTTCTTTTGAAGGCATGGTTGATGTATTTCTGGAAAAGAGCCAAAGCTCATGGCGTGGAAAGCGATATAGCGGAAGAGCG